AAAAGCCAGGTGGCAGGTACAGCCCCAAGGCAGGCCTGAGAACCAGTGCTGTCCTAAGCCTGTTCTGAGAAAGAGGCCCAGCCTTGGAGTCCCCTGAGTGCAGCAGCCAATAAAAAGAAGAAAAGGGAGTGCGTGGTAAAGACTTTCATCTTGCCCCAACAGAGGCCTGACCTTTGCTTCTGGAAGGGAGTCTCTAAGTCCTTTCAATGCTAGGCCTGACAGGAGTGTCTTCCTTTGCCTGGGGATCTTGGGCCAGCCAGCTAGTAACAATGTGAGTTTGGATGAGAGCTTTGAGCCACACCAGCAACGTGATACTGGGTGAGAGCTCTGGGTCACGTGGTATCAGCTAAACTCTGGAGTGAGTGAAAACAGATTACCTGTTGGGCAGTCAGCCATGCTTACCTGATGGACTCCCCAATAAAAACCCTAGGCCCCGTGCCTGTTTTCTCAGCTACTCGGGAGGCTGAGGCAGGAGAATTGCCTGAACCCAGGAGGCGGAGGTTGCGGTGAGCCAAGATCATGCCATTGCACTCCAGCCTGGGTAACAAGAGCGAAACTCCATCTCAAAAAAAAAAAAAACACCTTAGGCTCCAAAGCTTGGGTTAACTTCCACAGTTGACTATACTCCATGTGTGTTGATACACAGTGTTTTCAGGAGGATTACCTGTTGGGCAGTCACCCGTGCCTCCCTGATGGTCCCCCAATAAAAACCCTAGGCTCCAAGGCTTGGGTAAACTTTACAGTTGACAGTACTCCATGTGTATTGACACAGAGTGTTGCAAGGAAGAGTGAACGCTGCCCATGACTCCACAGGAGGACATCTGGAAGCCTGTGTTTGGATCCCTCATGGACTCTGCCCCATGATACAGATGAAAACCCTTTGCTGGTTTTCATCTGTATCCTTTCCCTGTAATAAATCATAGCCATAGTGGCTCACACCTCTAATCCCAGCACTTTGGGAGGCAAAAACGGGAGGATCACCTGAGGTCAGGAGTTCCAGACCAGCCTGACCAACACGAAGAAACCCCATCTCTACTAAAAATACAAAATTAGACAGGAGTGTTGGTGCACACCTGTAATCCCAGCTACTCGGGAGGCTGAGGCAGGAGAATCGCTTGAACCTGGGAAGCAGAGGCTGCGGTGAGCTGAAATTGCGCCATTGCACTCCAGCCTGGGTCACAAGAGCGATACTCTGTCTCAGAAAAATCAATCAATCAATCAATCAAACAGTAATTAAATAAAACCATAGTCATGGGTATTACAGCTTTCAGTGAGTTCTGTGAGTCCTTCGCATGAATCATCCAACCTAAGGGTGGTCTCAAACTTCCCTCTAAACTCTTCAGAGAAGATAAATATTTTACACACATTTAGAAATTAATTTACACATAGTAACCAGTTATTTGACTTGACAATCCTCAGGAGTCTGTATTATAGACCATCTGAAATCCCAAATGCTTTGAAATTCAAAATGCTCTAAAATCAGTAACTCAGTGCTGACATTGCACTCAAAGGAAATCTTCATTGGAGCATTTTGGATTTTGGAAATTTTGGTTTGGGATACTCAGCCAGTAAGTGTATTGTAAATACTCCAAAGTCCAAACAAATTCTGAAATTTGAAACACTTCTGGTCCCAAGCATTTTGGATAAGGGATACTCCTGTACTGAGTTTTGTGGAATGGCAGCAAATTTGGGCTATTTAATATTACTGTGTTGCTATTTTTACTACTGCCATTCCCGATAATTTTAATCAAGGGCTGGCTATATAGACCTTAAGCCATTTTGCGAGTACTTGCTGTTTGGTTTTTGTTTTGTTTTTTGTTTGTTGAGACAGAGCCTCCATCTGTCGCCAGGCTGGAGTGCAGTGGCGCCATCTCGGCTCACTGCAACCTCTGCCTCCCAGGATTCCCCTGCCTCAGCCTCCCAAGTAGCTGGGATTACAGGCACGTGCCACCACGCCTGGCTAATTTTTTGCATTTTAGTAGAGACGGAGTTTCATCATGTTGGCCAGGATGGTCTTGATCTCATGACCTCGTGATCTGCCTGCTTTGGCCTGCCAAAGTGCTGGGATTACAGGCGTCAGCCACTGCGCCGGGCCTGGATTTTAATTCTCTTAGACACGAGGGGTCCCCTAATCTGGTTCTTTGAGGAAAAAACCAGGGAGGAAAGTTGGCTTCTGCATTGAATTAAAGGATTAGAGAAAAGAAAAACAAGAGACCAGGCTCTCTCCAACAGAAAGAGGTTCCCATGTTTCTCATGTTCATGGTTCACGACCTTAAATTGTGCAATTCACTTCCCATATTGGAAATCAGTCGCCCCCTGCCCCGTTCTGCCTCGGGTGCATTACCTCAGCTTCATGATTTCCCTTTTTGGTGCAGACTCCCACCCTTTAGTCTCAAACCTCTAAGCATCACCACCATTACTCCTGACAATTTTCACAAGTTACCAGACTTTGATAATAGAGTCAGAGGTCAGGGACAGGATCGTTTTTCCTAAAAAAATATCAACATGCTGAGCATTCAAGGCTAAACTTGAAGTCAGCATGAGTGAGACAGGGTGCAAGAAAGAGCAGAAGGAAGACATGAGGCTCACTAAGTAAAAGCCACGACATGTGAACCAACGGGGTTAAAGTGCACAGCCATGTGTAAATGGGGCAGTTGTAGAGGCTTCAGAGTCTGGGACAAAAGAGGAAAAATGGACAGTGTGGGACCCTGGTGTCTAGGACAGAAGTGCCAGGGGACCCAGAATAAAGCCACACTTTCAGAGAGGTTTTGGCAGATTAAGTGCCTGAAGAAACACCTAACTCTTTTTCTTCCTGTCCTCACCTGGCCGAGGCAGTTCTGCAGGGACCAGCCTCTCTGGGGGATGGAGCAGAGCAGGAAGTGAATCTCACAGGACAGGGGCTGCAAGGGACAGTAACCAGCAGGAGCTTTTGTATTTGCTGATGTTCCCTCATGGCTGAATGTGAATTTCAACCCAAATAACAAGCCTCAGAACATTGTATGGCAGGCTCTGTCTTATTCCATTAGCGCTAACATCCCCACGTGAGGGAATCCTTTTCTGAGCATGAGATCTACGAGCTTTCCATATACTCATATACCTCTTTCTGTTATTTGTTTGTTGGTTTGAGATGGAGTCTCACTCTGCCACCCAAACTGGAATGCAGTGGTGCGATCTTGGCTCACTACCACCTCAGCCTCCCAGGTTCAAGCCATTCTTGTGCTTCAGCCTCTCGAGTAACTGGGATTACAGCCATGCACCACCACGCCTAGCCAATTTTGTATTTTCAGTAGAGATGGGGTTTTACCATGTCGGCCAGGCTGGTCTTGAAGTCCTGACCTCAAGTGATCTGCCTGCCTCAGCCTCCCAAAGTGCTGGGATTACAGGCATGAGCCACTGTGGCTGGCCCCACATACCTTTCTTATCCTCTGATTTTCTTCACAGATCTCAGCACCTCTGGCTTGCTTATTTGTTTAATCAATCCAATCTGTGTCTCTATATTTGAAGTGGCTTGCTTGTATATGCACAGTTGTGTCTTGTTTTTTAAATCTACTCATGATAGTCTTTGTCTTTTTATTTATTTATTTGAGATGGAGTTTCACTCTTGTTGCCCAGGGTGGAGTGCAATGGCACAGTCTCCACTCACTGTAACCTCTGCCTCCCAGGTTCAAGCGATTCTCCTGCCTCAGCCTCCCGAGTAGCTGGGATTACAGGTGCCCGCCACCAGGTGATCCACCCACCTTAGCCTCCCAAAGTGCTGGGATTACAGGTGTGAACCACCACACCAGGCAAGTGTTTGTCTTTAAATTGGTGTATTTAAGACAATTCACACTGAAGTAATTATTGATGTAATTGGATGTATACCTACCAAGTTTGTAGTTGTTTCATATTGTTCCTTGTTTCTTTTTTTGTCTTCCATTTGTATGGTGTATTAGTCAGGGTTCTCTAGGGGGAGAGAACTAATAGGATATATACATATTATATATACTGTATGTAATATATATATAAAGGAGATTTTATATATATATATATATATATAAATTTTTATATATATAAAGGGGAGTTTATTATTAACTCACATGATCTCAAGGTCCCACAATAGGCTGTCTGTAAGCTGAGGAGCAAGGAAGCCAGTCTGAGCCCCCAAACTGAAGAACTTGGAGTCTAATGTTCAAGGGCAGGAAGCATCTAGCATGGGAGAAAAATGTAGCCTGGGAGGCTAGGCTAGTCTGGTCTTTTCATATTTTTCTGCCTGTTTTATATTCTAGCCACACTGACAACTGATTAGATGGTGCCCACCCAGATTAAGGGTGGGTCTGCCTTTCCCAACCCTCTGACTCAAATGTTAATTTCCTTTGGCAACACCCTCCCAAATAAACCAAGGATCATACTTTGCATCCTTCAATCCAATTAAGTTGACATTCAGTATTAACCATCACATATGGTTATATGATTTATGTGATTCCATTTTCTCTCCTCTCTTGGCAAATCAATTATACTTTTAAACATATTTTTAGTGGTTGCCTTAGAAATTGCAGTATATATTGACAACTAACCCTGACCACTTTCAAGTAACACTGTATCACTTCTCAAATAGTGCAGCTACCTCGCAACAGGGTGCTCCTAATTGTTCCTTCCCATACTTTATGACTCTGCTTTCATACATTAACTTATACACAAGTTATAATCATCCAATACATTGTTGCTATTATTTTGAACAAACCACATTAAAAAATATATATGTACTGCCTGTCTTCCTCCTCTAGAATGTGAGCACAAGAGCAGACACCTGTCATACCCACCTTTGTAGAGCCAAATCCTAAAACAATACCTGGTAGAAAAGGGTACTCAGCAAACAATTGTTGAATGAGCCAGTGGAGTATTACTTTCTTCTTACTTGGTTAACTCAATGTGCTATTAAACATTTAAATTAAAAAAAACAGTAAAGTGAAACCCCAGAGGTGTGACCCAAATTGGAATGGCTGTTGGTTGATCCTTTGAGTGGGTGGAGCTTTCAATAGGAAAGGAGAGGGTTATAAACCCTCACTTAATCACCCCCCAGCACCCTGGAGACAAGAGTCTCGGAGAGATAAGGTGAGTGGTGAAATTCTTATATACTCTTTTTGGGGCCTGGTTGGATAGTTATAATATTTTGCTGCCCAATTTTCAACTTATACTCAGCAACCATTTTAACGTTGTGGTTAATTTAATGCTTATTATTTCCAAGCCTGCATCTATCGAATAAAATAAACAGACATTGTTTTCTGGAGAGTAGTTAATGTAAATGAAAAAGAGCAAATGTACTAGTAGACAAGGACTTTTGAAGGTTTTTATTGTGTATGCATAATATATATATAATATCAGACATATTAAAATATCCCCACATCTACATCACACATTAAATGTAATTTCAAAAATAAGTAAGAAGTGGTGTTTCAGTTGATTGGTTGATATAATGTTTAGTAGAATTTAAAAATATTTATTATTTGGACCACTACATTTTTTCCACAACAAGCAAATGTCAGATAATTCTGTACCCAGTTGAAAAGGACATAGGTGCCAGCCGTATTGTGCCATGGCGTCTAATGGGTAAACTAAGTCTTCCTGCACCTACAGATCTACTCCATGTGTGCTTGGAATATTTAATTCAAATGATCTGACCCTGGGGTCTTCCTACAGGGTTCTACATCCCCAGGGAACTATGCCAAGATGAGAACTCAAAGTGCTGACACAAATTTTTCTAGGACTCGCGCCAGTCTTTCAACAGCAATGAGCTGCCATGTGGTGGCTCACTTTGTTTATTCTCCAAGAAGTTTCAAAAACCTGGGTAGATAAAAATCTCTTTCTCGACTCAGATATATTTTTCATCTAAATACGTTTATAAGTCTTAGAGTTATAAGTCAATGTCTTGTGAGTTTTGGAAACATGAATCAATTCATTAGAGCCTAACTGAAAGGACATTTAGTTTCTGAAAATGAAATATAGGGCTCTCTGGAGAAGATATTTATTATGCAGGCTTGCAGTAGACCTCCCTCCTTAATCATTTTACAACATAAGTGACCATCACCTCCTCCACAGTAACATTGTTTGGTTGTTTGTGTAAAGTGCCATGTAAATACTTGAGATCTGTTTTGGAAGGGCTGGTTCCCTGTAGGAGACCGTGTTTGCTGGTAACATGTCAAATCCAAATTGTTCAGTCTTTTGCTAACATGTCGTAGGTCAGAAAAACAGAGAGAAATAATTTATAATCACTGTAACTTTGAAGTTATACTGAAACTACAATAAAGCTACAATTTTAAGGCTGTACTGGAAACCTTGGTTATATTACTAACATTATCTTCCAACTTCAAAATATTCTTTCTCTGTTGTATTATACACTTAAAGCAAAAATGATACAACATCTTTCTAAACCAGCAAATTAAAATTCAGGGCTAGCCAGGAGAGTTTTTAGTTCCAGTGACAAATTCTTACCTGCTAGTTGTGATGAACATAGGCCATTCTGATCAAATAGTGAAGCTAAAGTAAATGTTAAGGATATTTGTATTGATAACAGATTTAGAATTGATATCTTATATTCTGGCCCAGAATATTGCTACAACTGGCAGTCTTCTAAATTAGCTCCTTATAATTTTTATTATCCAGAAAGCTTGCTAAAAACCTGCTTTTGCCTAACCAAATAATTGAGAAAAATGTGCTTATTTTGTCTCAATAATCCAGAATGACTGTTAACATTGTCAGTAGAATGTCACTGCAAAGAGACTGGCTGCCTTTCCAAGGTGTATTCAGCAAGTAAGAGCATAGGGCAAAGTATAAATGCACAGGGGGAGAAACAAGATCATAAAGACCCTTGAAGGCTGGGTATGATGGCTCACACCTGTAATCTTGGCACTTTGGGAGGCCAAGGCAGGAGGATGGCTTGAGCCCAGGAGTTCAAGACCAATCTGAGCAATATAGGGAGACCCCATCTTTACAAAAAATAGCAAATTAACCTGGTGTGGTGGCACACACCTATGGTCCCAGCTACTTGGGAGGCTGAGATGGGAGGATCCTTTGAACCCAGGAGGTTAAGGGTGCAGTGAGCCATGATCACACCACTGCACTGCAGCCTGGGCAACAGAGCAAGACCCTGTCTCAAAAAGAAAAAAAAAAGGTGATTACAACTGAAAGAAACTAAGGAGATGATCAATTCAAACCAATTCCTCATTTTATAGTTGAGGAAACTGACATCTCTTTCTAACCCTCCCTCATGGCTGGAACCTACACATTTGGTACATTGCCAAATTTGGGAATCGAAGGGGGGCCTTGCCAGCTCGGACATCATGTCCCTGGCTGCGCCCAGTGCTGGGCCGGGCAGCTCTGAAGGAAGCTGCTCCCTCCTCAGCTTGGTTACTGTTGAGGAGCAGAGCTCAGGATCGTGTCCCCTATGGCGTGTTGGTGGTGAAGTGCAATGTCCCAGGATCCAGTGCTGTGTAGATTAAGGAAGGCACATGAGACCTCAGCAGCTGAAGGTTGGACTTCCACTAGACTTGCAAGTTGCCACAAGACAGATCTTAAAGAATCAATTGGCCCCTTGTCCTCTCACATCCATTCCCTGAATCTGGGCATGTCAGAGGCTGCTCTCTGGTGTGAACTTGGTTTGGAGACAAAAGGCTGGAGGCTGAACCAGCATTCTTGGGCAAGGACTGACTCTGGGGGAGTTGTTCTTGACTTTGGACACCCTCACCTCCCACTCCTACATACAAGATTTTTGACATGAGTATACCCCTGCTTAGTTCCTCCTGTGGGGCTGCATTTGGGGTGCTTTACCCTCCCCACTGAGAGTGAAGGGCCGAGGGATCTCTCCAAGGCTGTCTCCCTGGTGGCTCTGTTTCTTCCTTCCTTCCTTGGCCTCTGTCCTTTGCTGACTTCTTTCTCCTTACTGATCAGGCTCTGGCTCCCTGGGAACTCGCCTTGGGTCAGGGCAGGGAGGAGGGGGCCTGTCTATTGCTTTTTCCAATCATTCCTTGTCCAGCTGGCCAAGGTGGGTAGACTACAAGAGGTACTGGTTAGTAGGCTGGACTGCCCTGACCTCCCGCACCTTGAGAAACACAAATGCTTGTTTCTCAAGGTGGGGGAAAAAATAAGGCAGACCTTGAATTCTAGGTGTTCTTCTCTTAAAAGAGGGTTAATGTAGATGATCTAACATGAAGAATTTCTAATTCTCCAGTCTTCCCTCTCCTTTCTCCATCTATAAGCACATAAAACTACAGTACTTTATTTATTCAGCTGCCCTTTTAAGCGCACTGCAATGTATGCCTGCCCAGCAGCCCCTGGGAAGAACAATTCAGGGCTGCACACTGAGCCTCAGAGGCAGGTTATTGGTTTTGACTCTAGCCCAGCTTCTCAAATTTAATTTTCATATATATATGAATCTCCAGCAGATGGTGTTAAAAACACAGGCTCCAACTCAGTAGGCCTGGCTCAGGGACTGAGATTCTGCAATCCTAACAGGCTGCCAGGCACCACTGCTGCTGTTTCAAAATCACACTTTCAGAGAATGCCCTGCACTTCTATCAGAAGCAAGTTTGGCTGCTTTTCTTACATGCGAATGTTGCTGCAATCTAGAGATGTATGTGCGTGTATGCGGCATTTTTTTAGTCCTTACTATGTTCAACAGTTTGTACACATTATCTCATTTCAACCTCATAACCAAATGAATTAAGCACTATTAGCCTCATTGTGCAAATAAGGAAACTGAGGCTCAGGGAGATTCAGAAACCTGCTCACATGAGAGAGAGAGAGAGCTGAGATTTGAACCTGGGTCTTTTTTCCAGTACCCAGAGCCTAACTCAGATTAACGTGTTAGGGTAAATGTGTTCTTCCACATTTCCGAAAGATCTTGGGTCTGTTTTTCTTTTAAATCAAAGGCTATTCTCCAACTAGCCAAAGGTCATCACACTGTCTTCACTGCTTCCTGCTCAGCCCACCTTAGATATGTACTGAGGGCTGTGGGTGTGGGAATGCATTCCCTTGGCTTGCTCATCTCAGGTGAAGCTGTACACAGGTGAAGTTTCCAAGCCCTGAGAGATGGGACTTAATTTCCTACATCATAAGATCCCTGTGAGGACACACCTGTTGGCTAATATCAGCATCAGAAAAACCAGAGGTGAAAAGATGGGCTTGAGTATCTTAGCTTCTAAGGCTCTGGACCTTCCAGCAGCAGAGTTCTCAGAGTGTTTGCATTTTGGATGAAATCCAGAAAGCACTGCTTCTGTGTTCCCTGTTTCTTCATTTCCCACAGATGGGGTATATATTTCCATTGCACCTGTTCTTTCAAGCTTGGACAGTATACGTTTAAACAATCAGAGTAAGTGGGTTTATTTTTTGAAGCATAAACAAACTTGGTTTTCTATATTACCAAGCTGTGGTTTAACCTAATCTTTGTTGAAATTCATTAGAGGTCAAGGAAAAAGGATTAAGGGACCTGGATTAAGCCCTTAGCTTATAATGCCATGGGGAAGAGAAGGATGACAGTTCAGACAAGCAAATTTATATCTATTTGTACTCATTCAGAAAGGCTCTCTTCAATTCTTAATACCATATTGTACCTTTCTTAAACACTTATTTCATTCTGACTTACCTTATAGTAGTCTGGATGTTTTTGATGGCAGAAACTACATCTTAAATTTATCTTTCATGCCCAGAGTACTTAACCTAGTACTTTATCTATAGCTCAGCCAGTCTCAGTGGCTTACGCCTGTAATCCCAGCAGTTTGGGAGGCTGAGGCAGGCAAATTGCTTGAGGCCAGGAGTTCGAGGCCAGCCTGGCCAACATGGCGAAACCCCATGTTTACTAAAAATACAAAAATTAGCCGATTGTCGTGGTACACCCCTGTAATCCCAGCTACTCGGGAGGCTGAGGCTTGAGAATCATTGAACCCAGGAGGCAGAGGTTGCAGTGAGCCAAGGTCATGCCACTGCACTTCAGCCTGGGTGACAGAGTGGTACTATGCCTCAAATAAATAAATAAATAAATAAATAAATGGAGCTCAATAAATGTTCATATTGAAAGAAAAAAATGAACACAGGAATATCATCAAGTTTAGAAACTAGTA